GGGAAATCTGGTGAGCGTGCTTGTTGAATCGCCCTGTACATCGCGCACGGCAGTCCTGTCGACGGCGGTCATCGTATTATCAGACTAACCTCATCGCAATAATTAGTACCCACAGGTTGAGTGCGCCGTTTTGAAGTGAGGTGAAATGTATTATTTTTTCCGTGTGGTAATAATAGGCAAACACCTAATAATCTCGCGTATAGGCGTCAAAGACGTTGTGAGAGTAAAATAATATACGAGCGACGTCATCGCTACGAAATGATTGTTAACGCGCTGCCTATTATTATTATTATTTATTATATACCTTCTAACCTACCTCAGGTTGTATGCCTAGCCCAGCTATAATGTACGAACGATGTTGTGGATATAGTCATACGGCGTCAAGCTGTATTTTGTTAAGACCGTATAAGCCCACACATCGAGCATCATAATATATGTATATGTATAGTGCTATATTATAATAGAACGTATTATATAGAGCCGAGCTGCAGTTGTTTCCCGCGGGAGAACAACGAAATTATCCAAACCTCGGGCGCACAATAATAAAAATAATATAATATCACAAGAAAAGGTTAACAACCCTTATTATTATCATCATCATCATCCGACCGGCGCGTTGTGCAGCCGCGCACAAGGAGTGAATCGCATTCCGGTAGATCACCTGTTGCGTGAACATGTATATAAATATATTATGTGTGTGTGTGTGTGTGTGTAGCACAACAGCTGTTTCTCAACACCACCCATCATCGTTCTCGTAGATCTTTCTAGCGAGCTTATATGAAAAAAAAAAAAACAAATCATCGTTCATCAAAAATAAGCGTGTAATATTATATTGTGTAATTTATAGCCATCGGTTTGGGACATTGAATATTATTATTCGTTATGAATAATCGTGTGTACGGCGCGTTATATATAATGATATTGTATATAGGTATGGGGTAGGTATACCTACCTCACAAATCGTATTTTTTTAATCGGACGTAATTAATGTACCTACCTATATGTATACCTGCCTAATAAATAATATCACGATTTAATAGGGTTAGGTGGGTACCATTAATGTCGGTGATGGATACCGCGTGTGTGGAGCTGTTAATTCTTTTCGATGACTACAAGACCGACAACACTATCCGATCGCAAATTTTCGATTTAAAACGGATAAGTGCTTACACGGTCTCAATAAATTGTATTTGTCATGACTAGGATTCTGCATTTGCAGTAATATGTCACTAGAAATTTTTCAATTGAAATATTTCAAAATTGAAAATTTCGCTCTTCTTGATATATTTTGAAATATGAATTATATGAAATTATGAAAAATATTTTTTTTTACCTTTTTCTCCTGTTCGGTTCTAGATGATTATAAATAATGTACTGATTGAACACTCAGAAATAAACGAAAAACGTATTATTTTTGTTGATTCATTATTTCGTATTTTTGTATATTCTATATTAGGTATGTAGTTATGAAAAATATTCCTGGAATTTTTTTGAGAGCAAAAACATTTTTTTATATGAGTTTTAAAATACTGTTGTATGCGGACCGTCAGCAGTGGAGGCACGAAATTGTGTAGGCTTTGAAGCATATTGTATATTTTAAATATTTTTAACACCGTACCCTTCAATGAAACAAAATTACCAGCATGGGCCATTAATAATTATTAATTAAAATATTTGCCATGATATTTTTGTTGAGGTTTCATGATTATATATATATTTATACACCCACCCACCCATTTCAGACATGAAGAAAATTGCTTCAAATAATCCTATATCCCGCCGCCACCGACCTTCAGCGATCCAAAAGTTAATGGTTTGCAATAAATTTGAAGTCAATTATTTCAACAGTGAATGAAATAATACTGTATATTTTCCAGTAATTATAAAGTGTACAAAAACCGTATATTATGTGTGTGTACACGGACAAAAAAGTCGTTTGTACCTATTATAAAAAATAGTAGGATTGACTGTACATTATAATTACTATAGGGATAGCTATAAGGTTAGTCAGATTTACTAAAATATCATAGTCAAGTTATTATAGTTTTTTTTTTTTTTTTTATTTAAAGGTTTACAGGCTTGGTTATTAGCCGACAGTGACAATGAGAAAAAAAAAAAAATAAAAATAAAAAGAATAAGATTATTAGATTAGATTACAGTAGTTATAGGTTAAATTAACATATTTGATCAAAGGTTATTTAAGTAAGTTTACAATTGTATACGGGCTTAATTTATATTTTATTAATAAGTTTGTCTTTGGTGATGAACTGGATGGTTTTTTGAGTAGATTCTTCATTGAGGGCTTCTTTGATGTTGGGAGGGAGGTTGAGGAGTGTGCGAGTTGGCTCGTATATTGGGCATTCTTCGAAAATGTGTCTTATAGTGATGCGAGTTTGGCATGTGTTGCATATAGGGGGTTGGTCTTTGCTGATAAGGAAGGAGTGTGTTAGAAACGTGTGACCGATTCTAATGCGAGTGATGGCAATATTTTGACGTTCGGCTTATTATAGTTATTCGAACTGAAATATGCTATTTTAACTATATTTTTTAGTTAATTCAAACATTAAAAACTTCATTACCTATCAAATATAGTGAACAATACCATAACAAATAACTATATTTATTTAGTCATAATAAATAAATCATTTTAGTTATTTTACCTATTATATAGTTATATCTATTATAATTTGTTTCACTATAATATTATGGTAATTTTTTTGCCCGTGTACCAGCCCAAAACATACTTATGTTGAAATATGACGTTAAAATGAGTGGTTGACAGTAAGATTTTTCCCATGAGATTTATGTACGAAAAACGTTTGTCCCGATTTAAGTAAATTACAATTTGTGGCAATCCTAGCATTGTTAATTAAATCATTCTGCATTATATATTTAACGGGAGCCAGAAATTTTACCTAAAAAATTATTGCACCTTTTTTTTTTTTTGGTGTTCTGGACTCTTTTATTTAATACTTACATCACATTTTGTACCTACAATGTAAAAGGTCACTTTGGCTGTATTAAAAGTGGTTTATGTCTATACACTGTGAGTATAATATAATTATAATATAGTATAATATAATATGTTATGATGTTGAGGGGGTTTATGAGTTTGTAACTTAAGAGTTAAAATGCAATGTTAAAATTTGTTACATTGTAGATTTGTTGAACAACTTATAAATTATAATATGTAAATATAATACATATTTTCTTTGTTTCATGCAATAAACCAACTTTTAAAAATGTTCACTTGGAAGTTGACGCGACTATAAACTTATAGAAATTGTATTTTTCACTGAAATAAAGAGCTCCGTTACAATCATGAACATGCTCAGAGCTGCAAATAAGATCGATAATTCTTCCTCGGGCCACTCGACCACTATAATACTTATATATTATACAGGTTGATTTTTCATAAGCATGCTCACCCTGTTATTGTATACTTAAACTGTGCATGTGTTCAAATTCTGATTTTTGGACTTTTCAATAATTACTTGTAATTTTTTGTACCACTCGAGGTTGATACCGCGTGACAGTATAAACTTCTGTTTTTCAAACAGTGAGTCCCCTTTTTCACTTTAATTTTTCAGCAGATATTTTTATTGAGATTATCGATGCATCTAAAAAATCAAAACTCGAACGAATAGATTTTGAGTGATATAACTTTGTATACTAAGGATGACGCGTCTATGTGGTAATGGGTGAAGTGCATATACTTATTGGGGCTCTAGTGGTTTTAAAATGTTAGTAATTACTGTAAATTGATCAATAAATATAAATAATTTGTAAGAACAGTGTAAGTATAATAATTACTACATATATACTATAATAAGTAATATTACGTCGTATAGTTTATATTTTTGTAAAACGATTTTTAAGGCTTATTATTCTTAGTATAAATATTTTGATAACTAAGAAACTAATCATCAGAATTTTTATTTAGATACATTAACATTTAAAAAAAAATAATTTGCAATAAAAAGGGGTTCTAATTCGAAAAAAACAGAAGTTCATATCACTACATGACACTCGGGAAGTAGTATAAAAAATATCAGGAATTTTAGTCTTAGGTATACTTAAAAATTCTAAGAATCAGAATTTGATTAAATGTACTATTAAATTGAAAAATGGGGCTGAAATCCACCCTATATAGTGTAGGTATGATGTATATATAATATGTTAACTATAATTATATTATCAGGGGCAGTCAAAAAGTCAATCTCTGTCGGTTTTAAAGCTGATCTCCCTGTTTATATTATATTATATTTAGTAGATACAGCTACATACATATTCCGAATCACAATCTTTATGTGAAATCACATTTTTCACATGAAAGTTGTATAAACGCTGAATGCTGGACTAAATTTTCTACTGATAATCTAGAGCAACGTACAGAGCAGTTATAATATTACCTGATAGAAAATATTATGCAATATTATTTTTACAGTATAAAATACGTTAGGTTGAATAAACATTAAATGTTAATTTGTTTTGAAATTATTTAGAAATTCAATGTGAAACACTCATTTCTAGAAAACTTTACACTTTACTTACAATAATATTTATTATTTCGATATGCATTACGTTTATTATTAATATAACTGATAAAGACTTAAAAATACAAAAAATATTTTGAGTGTAATTAGTATACCAGACTGAGTAATACAAAAATATTGTGTGAGTTCATTTCTTCAGCCCACAACTCAAATATTGCTGGTAAAAAACCTATGTGGACACAATAAACGATTGGCGTCAATTTTGTTTCGATATTCCAAAGCGTTGGCGGTTTGATGCTGAGGGGGGGGATAAAGGCCTCAATTTTATATGTTTTGTTAAACCACGCCATTATTCCTAAGTACATAACACTAGACAACTATAATTTTTTGAATTTTTAAAGTTGCATGCCTAACTTTTTACGTTTAAAAATGTAGTTCTTGTTGAAAAAAAATACAGATGAAGCCTTTCTGAAGGTCTTAGCCTTTTTTCTATATACATTGCAGGGCCACCTCAGGACGAAGAAACGCCGGTCGGGCCTTATCCAGTGATCGAAAAAAGGGGCGAACAAATCGTGCCCGTGGTGCAAGCGTACGCGTTCGCCAAATACTTGGGAAAATTGGTTTTGACATTTGACAGGAAAAAACGTTTGGTCAGTGCCGTCGGAGGGCCAATTTTACTGGACCGAACCGTTCCTCAAGGTAGGTACCAGGTACCTCTAGTTCCGACTTCCGTAGTTAATAATAATAAACCTAATATATCGTAACAAAACCATAGGTCTATAAAGATATGGACCTCGATAATCCCAGCCATAACTTCAAAAAAGACAAGATTGTTAGAAAGATGACATATATATATATCAATATGTATATGAAAGAGACATAGAGTAAACTTTAAGGAAATCATGAGAGAAAAAAAAACAATAAATCGTGTGATAATTTAAGCAAATATCGGATATGGTGATCAATAGAAAATGATTTGTTCTTCTGCGATACATTGTTTTATGCTCTATCTAATTCCTTCCGACAATATTGAATTCAGTACCTAACCTATTCAGCAGTCTCCATTTCTTTATAGGTCTATGATCAAAACGCTTACATTATATTGGCCGACAACCTTTCGCCCACGTGAGTGTTCGTGGAAAAAAAATAACGCTCTTAAATTTCAGACGCGAAAATGTTGGAAAAAGTCGAACACTACAAGCGACTGTTGGCGGAACAATCCGTCGATAAAGCCGTCGGAAAAACTCAAGTATTTTTGGACGGCAACTGTAAGTGCGAGGAGACCAATTTGGCCAATTTAATCGCCGATTCGTTTATACGCGGGGTGAGTACGAAGTATAAGTGGCTGGAGATTTTAATATTAAGCTAAAAAATGGCGATAAAAAATGCCTTGAAAAAATTAATACACCCCCAAGCACTATGATATTATAAAAACGCGTTTAAAAAATCAGGCTAGTGGATGTCGCTCTGCTGTACAGTATAGGTCGCAACAAGTGGGTCACTGTATGATGGATGATATTAAATTTGAATTCAACGGTATAACCAAGGCTGGGCAAGTTAATGATTTTTTTTTAACTCTGTTAAGTTAAGATAGTGTGCACCAATAACAGTTAACAAGAGTTAAAAGTTAATTTAACTATAGATTAACTCAGCCAAGTTTAAAGTTAATACACACATTTTGTTAACTTTTATTGAGAAAAAAAAAGTTAATTTGTTGATACAACGCTATAGTAGGTACTTCATTTTTTTCAAACCCAAAACTAAATTATACACTATAGTGATTATATTTTATTAGATTGGAATAATATACTTTAAACGATTCACAGAAAATATTGTTTGACATAAAAACGAAATAGACTGAAATAGAAAAATTTGAAAATTCAAAAAATTAATTAGGTAATTAATTAACCTAACTTACTTATTAAAATGAAAAATTAATTCTTTAATTTCACGTTAATCAAAAGAGAAATTTAGCAAATTAACATTTAAGTTAATGAAAATCCGAAAATAACTACTTAAGGTAAAACGTTTGAGTTAAATTAAATTTTTAACTTAACTTTAACTTTTTAACTCGTTAATGTATACGAAAAACGGTTCTGTGCTGTGACGGTTTGTCAGTGCGAATGTTTTATATTACCTATATTTATATTGTTATTACTTATTATTAGTACTGTAAGTTGAATTAATTTGATAAAATTACAACAAAATAACTAATTATTTTTAGTTGTTTTATATTATGCTGTGACTTCGTCCAAATTTGAACTTAAAAAAACTATGAAAAAAACTGTGTTTATATATTTTTAGTTTTATTGATTACAGAGTTACTACTTACGCGGAACCTCGTTTTAAGTTGTCAATCTTTAGCTATAAGATTTGAACATTTTATAGATCTTGTCAAAATTCGAAATTTAAATTCCTATAAAAAAATGTGTGCCTCTGCGCTCTGAATAGAGAATTTTTTAATATTTTTCAACTGCTATTGTAAAAATAAATCAGGAGCTTGTAATAATACACGCTTTTTGAAAATAAAATTTCATTGAAATTTATGTAGAAAAGAAAACCAAAAAAATTGAAAACTGAAAATGTCCTCTAAAAATGTCCTGAAACTATCCTTCAAAGTTAAATCTGTCAAACGGTTCGTTGTTATAATGGCCAATTGATTTTCATACAGTTATGACGCAACAATAAAAATGAAATATAATAATTAAAATAATTTCAAAAATTACTTTGTTTGAATATCTAACAAGTATTCATAACAACCCTTTATGTAGCCCTTTGTTCGTTGTTGGCCAATGTAGAATTTATGAACTCCATGTCGCATGTCATTTGATAATAACAATACGTCATTGAGAAACCAACAGCTATGTTTTTTTTTCGCTACCGCTTTCAGTATGTATTTAAAACGAAATTTTAATTTTTTAAACGCGTTTCTCGAGCTTAAACAAAATAATAGCTGACCAACGGGTTTTAAGCGTTATATTATGTTATCTTTGGTTTAGTTCTAATTAATATTTTATTGTGTCCTAAAATATTTCAGAATTTAAACGACTTGTTGAAGACCAACGTGACCGTAAGTGGCTGGACCGATGCCGCTGTAGCGATTGTCTTGAGCAGTAGTATTCATAATTCAATAGACGCTTCGAAAAAGCAAGGTGAGATTGACATTTTTTAATATCACAAACATTATTTGATTTTATTCCAACATAATAAACACAATATTATTTTGTATATCTCTCCCTGTACAGTGTAGGGTGGTTAGTCAAGCATGATCACGGCAGTTTTTCTATCTAGTAGTTAATTTATTCAAATTATGGTTTTTAGAATTTACAGGCAGGACCTATAATAGGTATCATATCGACGGTGTTTTGTTACCTACTAAAAAACTATTGTCTATATTTAAAAATTTCCAATTATTACATTAATATTCATAGTGCATTAGGTATGCTCAATTAATTTTTTTTTTATATTACCTATTAAATTATATTTTAAAATTGAATAATCTTTATTTATGTGTTATTACAACATTGAAACTTTATTTCATTCAATTTAAAATATTTTATTTTTTGTTTACTTATTTATGTTTAACTTTATTGATGTTGACAATTTATTTACTATAATTACTCTTGTTAAATTTGATTTTTTTATACAAATCTAAATGTTTTAAACGACAAAACATTGTTTATAAACTTTAATTTAAATAATATTATATTGTAATTTTTTAATTTTCAAGGAACTCACCAATTATTTGAATGGGAGGGGTACACTACTAATATTAAGTACCTAAGGGATTTTTAGTTTACTTATTTATGTTTTATTCTATTGATTTTGAATTTTTATTTAGTACTGTAGTTGAACTTTTGTAATAAAAGTAAATACATTTAAATTTAGTCTCAATATTATCATTAAATTATAATTATCTAATATCTCTTAATGACGGGTATAAATAAATATTTAAACCAAAAATTGAGGTATAATAAAAAAACAAAATTTCGTAAAATTGTTTAAATAAAAAGGGCTTTTAGAAATTAAAAACACAAGAAGGGCGTAAGCCACAAACAATTTCTGAAATCAAAAAGGCACTTGGATATTAAAAACGCAAGAAGGGCGCAACCCACATACACCTTTTTTTAAGTGACAACTACTATGATACTCCATATTTTTATTAAGGTTATTAAGATAAAAACTATTTTATTAATATTTCTATTTTCCAAAGTTAAAATTTTTATTATATTATAATCAAAACTGTATTTTCTGCACTGTTTTTACTCTCCCATAAAAAGTTTTGAAATTGTGGATTACGCCCTTTCTACAAAACACCGTCGATATTAATAATTAAAATCAATTTTTTTTTTTAACATAATGATAGTTTTAGATTCTAAGTGGAACGACGATGAATGTATTGATTTTACAATGATGTGTGTGTGTGTTTTTTTTTTAATTATTATTTTTTTTTGTGTGTGTCTGTCATCACCTTTTAGGACAGTAAAAGTGCTTGGATTTTCTTCAATAGTATCTTTTCTGATAGGAAAGTGATGCTAATTGGTACTTTGGGGGGTCAACAGTAAAATTTTTCCAGTAGTTTTCAAAAACGCCGTGAAAAACAAAAGAAAAATTAAGGGAAAACGGGAACTGTTTTCGAAAAAATCAATTTTGGTGTTTGTTTTAACTTTAAAACAAATTACCGTAAATACATGAAATTTTCACTGGTTGTTTATATTTAAATTTTTTATACACCATAACATTTTCTAAATATTTTGATAAATTTGGAACTGTTTAGTGACATTTTCATTTTCCATTTTTTTTTAAAGTTTTTTTTCTAAAAATATCAATAAATTTGTATTTGTTGTTAAAAACGGTTGAAAATTTAATAGGGGGCTCCTAGTATATTATTTCAAAGGCAGATGAAAAATATTCAAAATCCTTAGTCACGGTTTTTTTTTATAAGCATTTAAAGTCCAAAAATTGACAAAATATGGAAAAATCACGAACATTAGCAAATTATTTTGAGTTGAGACTTCGTAAAATTTTTTCTTTTTAAATCTAAGATTTTAAAATGTAATACATGATTCCTTATAAGATTATCTAATTTTATAAAAAAAAAATCTCTACCGGAAAGTCAAATTAAATTTTTATGAGCGTTTGAAATTCAAATTTTTACAACATTTTATATTTTGTAAATTGTAAATTGTAAATTGTACTTACATATAAGTTTTATTATCAGTAAGAAACATTTTCAGTTTTAATAAATTTATGGATCAAAATTTCCAAAGGTTTTCAGAAAAAAACCCGGGTTTTTCCCGTTTTTTTCGGAAAAATTGAGAAAATTTGGTTTCATTTAAAATTTCCGGAAAATTGAAAAATAATAATAAATAATTTACAACATTATGAAAATATATTATGGTATCCCGCATTTCCGCGAATGATGTTTTGTTGTTACGTATTTTCCTATAATTACTATTAATTAATATTGTCATTACTCATTTTTCAATCTATATATTTTATCTACAACTTATAAGTAATAATATTAATTATATAAAATTTTAAAATACAGGTGATTTATTTTCGGGGAAATACACTCTCCCACATAAATACTAATTTGATATGAAACTACGTTATTTTCAGAACAAATATTGAAATATCAGTATTTTTAATTTTTAATTTTAATATAATGATACATTGATATAACCGTATTGGCAAATATGAAATGACAATGATAGGTTTCCTCATATATTTTTAAAATGGTTTTTTTTTCACATAGATTATAATTTTAATTTTCAAGCGTAAATACAATACATACGTTTTTTTTAATTTTCCGAAAACTTCTGTTTTTTTCGGAAATGTATTATTTTAATATTGTCCAATTTGTCCACGTTTTCTAAGCCTCTGGGGAAAAAAAACTGTGTCTTTTTTTCGAAATTTTCCCGAAATTTCAGGGCATTTTGATCCCTATCAATAATAATTGAAAAATGCTAATTTAACTGTGTGGGGCCTTACACGGAAATGAACGAAATAACAATGATAACACGATAACTTCACCAAAAGGTTTCCAGAAAACAAATAAGAAACTATAAAGGCACCCATATACAAAAAAATAACACAATACGTAAATTAAAACAAATTGGACGATAAAAAAATAGTAACTCCTGTGATGTAGAGCCTTTTATTACTGTAAATATTAATCGTTCTTAATTTATAGAAATCTTTGGAAACCGTTCTCGTCGATTGGTTCTCTCGGTGTTGCGATTTGTATTGATCAATTAATTTCACCTCGTCAATAATGAAATATTATTTGAACTCTATTCGTACGAATTTCAGTTGATACGACACAAAACAGAGTAGGTGCCCACTAACGCTTTTGAATATCCAAAACGATACCGATTGATGAATTTGAAAAATCGAATAGGTGAAAATCATAATTTTATTCGGGATTTTATCAAACACTTCGCGTTTTCATCCCATCAATTAACGAATCGAGTTAGTGAAAGTTAATAAGACGAATTCACTGTAAAAGAAAAAAATTTTTAATCATGGTACAATAACAAAACGGACCATAGGTAAGGATAGTTTTTTAAATTTTTTTTTCGAAAAATATGTAATTATAAAACAAAATTATGATTAGTTGGTAAAAGTCGAGATCAAACGAACTAACCAAGACATCGACGTTGAAATAATTTACAACTTATATACTACATAGGTACCTTCCTATCAGTATAATTATTGTTTGAATATGATATAGGTATAATTATGATTTTTTTGCGATTTTTACTAGTTGTAGGTGCATTTGCTAACTCAATTTCGTAAATCCTAGGATGTACTGCACAACGTGTTCAGCTCGAATAAAACTATGATTTTCAGCTTTTACCGAGTACGAACAGTAAATCATAGCATTGACTAGGTAGTAAGACCCAGCATTACCTACGGGCATTATGATGGGGAATTTAAGGTAACTAATCGAACGTGTCCCGACTGACTGATCGACGCTTAAAGCCTAAACCGTGTGTCGTATAGCTATAAAGAGACTTGAACATTCGAATTTTAAAGAAACGTCCCTCTCACACGTGGATTTTGAGATTTGCGACGGAAATGGACAATTTTTTTCATACGATTGCCGTCGTGGTTACACATTATAACAGTAATGGTATAAATCAGTATTTGTTTGTATTATGTGCATAAATATACTTGTATGGTTATGGTTGTCATGGTTATTCCAAGTTGGTTAGGTTAACTATTGTTTTTTAGTTATTCTAACTACATTGATTCAACTAATTAATTTTAGTACTCTCAACCATTCATTTATTGTGTCACTGTATTAACCTGAGATTATGGTTGGCCTAACCATTTAATAAACATTTTAAACAGTTGTATCAACCACTATTGTTTTTCCGTGATGCAGGTACCTACTAGTATAAAATAAATTTCCCATGCCTATACCTATACCTATTGGCTATTGTACCTATACCTACATGGTTATACTCAGACAGATGAGGTAAAGCATGCGTGAAACCATCTTGTCTATGGTCTCGAATACAGAAATACTTGGAATATTTAGTATATGATAGTTTATTTATAAAACGATTCTTACATATCATGTCTGTTGCCTATAGACTAAAAAACAACTCGGACATTATTCTTACAGAGATATCAAGAAAATGTAGAGAGTAGTTTGAGTTGAGTTCGAAAATAGGTTAAACTAAGAGTCAGCTGTGGATTGGCTAAACATTTCGGCCCTGGAAATTACAGTGTGACAGGCCCACGTAATAATATATTGTTATTGTATAATTGATAATAATTGTCCATAAAAAATCTTTATTTTTTTAGGAATTCTCTTGTTTATAGTTTTATATAATAAAAGTTTAAAATTTGAGTAGGTACGTAACTTATTTTCATGACCACCCAAATGTCCAACTAGATTCACTTTCATCCCAGAAAAGATGGTGAAATAGTAAACCAAAGCATTTTTAATGCCTCGAAAAGTGTGATTAGTGGTTTTTGAACTTTGGAGGAATGATACTTAAATTATGCAGTTTTACCAACAATTTAATATATTACACATATTGTAAAGAAAACTGACAGCTGTTTAAAAATATAAACATGTTTTGCATTTAGTTTCAACAGTCATTTACAAAAATTATTTTATTTAAATAAATATAACGATTAAGTAGTATTGTAAAATACACAGTTTTGGTGCTCAATCAACTTTTAACGTTAAATTTAAAGTAAACCAATTTTGTAAATTACTGTTCAAACTGAATGCAAAATTTGTTTGTATTTTTCAATGGCTGTCGATTTCCTTTAAAACACGTATGTATTGAATAGTTGGTTGATCAGGGTACATTTTGGTATCATTCCTAAATTCAAAACCCATTAGAACAATTAAAATTTCAACATAATTTATCAAATAATAAAAAAAGTAATCAAAATAAAAAATATAATACGTCATTATTATATGTAGGACAACATAATAACTGTATAAAAAAAAATATATTTTTTACCGTTTTAAGTGAGAAAACTAAATATTTAATATAAAAATGTATAAAAGTTAGAAAATATTAATCAAATAATATATATTTTTAATACAAACAGCTCTATAAATCGGGTGTATATGAATCCTAAAATAATATAATTATGTTATTATTATTTTAACGACATTTTGGATGTGCTATTTCGTTATTTATTTATTTATTTATTATTTTTTAAATATTCACATTGACTTGTTGATTCTTCAGGCGTAATATATGAAGATGACATTCAGCGAACGTTGCCGTACAAAACTCCTCTGTGCAAGGTGACCATTACTGGAAAGACTCTGCTGAAATCACTGGAGCACAGTGCGTCAATGTATGATTACAGAAACTGTTCAAATCCGGAAAATAAAATATACGGAGGTTTCATGCACATGTCAGGTAAGCGCTGGGCGAGTTAACTAATTTTTCAACTCATCGAGTAGGCACTATAGGTACCAGTTGAGGAAATATAGAAAAATATAAGTTCAGTTTAAAGTTCTTATTTGTCACTTTTGTCTTCCTATAATTTTTTTTAACCGTATTAGCTTATACAAGCTAACCATAACAATATTAATAAAAATCAACTATATCAACTTAGTTAAACAAAATCGGGTAGTTATATTTTCATCATTATCTGCGCAAATTACTAATGAGAAAATTTGAAACTAAAAATTGCACGTAAGATGTCAATGTTGATAAAAATAAAAAGAAACAAGATAAATTCCCAACGGATAAGTTCCAAATTTTTATTCATTTTCATTATTCAGTATAAATAGTGGGCGGTACAAATTTCCAACGAAACTTAATATTGTGACGTAACAATTTTAACGAAATATACAAATTACATAATTGATGTATAGTTCTACTTTATCGTACAAGTGAACCAGTGAGATAAAAAAAAATATTTGAAGAGTATTTAAAATTCAAAGCATTCCAAGACATCTTACTTACCTACCTATTGATAACTGTACCTATTCGTTCTCCAAAGTACAATTATTTAAATCGTAAAACTGTTCAATAATATTTTATTAAAATACATTTCATGAAGTGCTATTAATGAATAGTCTCTTCAACAAGTCAACCATGTCCAATTACCAATATTATCATTATCTCCATTGTACTTATTGTAAATATTTTTTTTTATACAGATTGTACAAATAAAAACAAATATGACAAAAAAAAAAAAAATAAAATACATTTAAACAGATAATTTCTGAATGGATCCGTTGTATCCACATTTAAATACAATTTGAAAAGAATTTTTTACGAGACTGTCAGTCAGTCGACCGGGTTTAATCGTCACTGTCGACAAAACTTATACGCGTATTCACAAACCCTATACTCGTCATTGTTGTCACTCTATGTGCGTGTATATAGTTCAATATGTCAAAATAACTCTAAATCGTCGAAATTGGCATTTGTATATACAGGATGTATCAAAAGTCTTCATCCGATTACGATAACTGATGTAGTTCGGCAACGGACTCATAGGCGCAATTTCAAAAGAAAAACTGAGGGTGCTTAAGCTCTGAATTTTATGGGCATTTATTAATTTGTAATTATGAGGCACTTATGAATTTTTTGGACAATTTAACGTTGAATAGTTACTAATAAATAGTTAAAATAAATTTTTATATAGTGTATTAGGTACATTTTATAAAAATTAATACAATAGTCAATTTTAATTTATTAAAAATTGAAATCAACTTATTTATATTTTATTCAAAAAAATATAACAAATAAATATTAGTATACAAGATGTAACAGACAGACTTGACGAAAAAGTAAATGACTCTAGTTAAACATATGACAGAAATTGTTAAAATATTGTGATAAGTAAATAATTTAAGGATTAATATACTCATGTCAGCAAATTCCCAAAAAAAATATTTTGAAAAAAGTTATTATAATAACTCATGTACACGTTCCAAATGCATTTAATCAAAAAATATTGATATTTTAAAAATTCTAAAAAAAAACTACTTGACTTAGATATATGTTTTTCCAAACAAAATTGTTCTTATAATCAGCTTCATAAATTGGCTATTTTGAATTTATCCAAAGAAATTTAAATCAAAATTTAAATTTTTATTTTTATTTTCAATGTTAAAAAGGTGCTCTGCTGTACAGTAGGTTACAAGTAGGTCACTGTATAATGGATGGTATTAAATTTGAATTCAATGATATAATATCATTGTATAAGAAAAACGATTCTGAGCGAAGACGGTATGTCAGTCTAGGTATAAGACATATTATATACATAGTACATACCTATGTGATTAAAAAAATGACCTATAATAAATTCCAAATTAATCATATCACAATATCCATTAGGTATCATATATCCCCGAATAATATTTTTAAATTACAACGAAAAACCAAGATCGTTAATATTGATTTTAATATGTAATTTCGTCCAAATTTGGATTTAAAATGTCTGTAAAAAATAACTGTGTTCATATATTTTTTAGATTTTTTGGTTACAGTATGAACTATTTATGAGAACTTAAAATAAAACTATCTAATCAATTGATATAACATAATATAATTTATTCCCCAACATAATAATATTTAGTCGACATACGCGTATGACCATTAAGTACAACAGCAGGTGGTTAGCTTAGGACTAAATGATTACGTCATAATTTTGGAATAAATCATATTATTATATTTGATTAGTTTTATTTAAAAAATCAATATCATTGTTTACACGGTCCGTTGAAATATAAAAAAAGGTGGGTAAGTGGATGTCGCTCCCTAAGGATCATAAGCTTAGCCCCCCTAAGAATTGCTATAGCCCCCCCAAAAACAAATGATTTTACTATGCTTTACTAAAAGCATCATAAGAGTATTCAGTATCCTGAACTGAGCTACGGCTTCAGCCCCCCCAGATTTCAAACACTATTTGCGCCTATGGGGTCATGGTATAATGGATGGTATTAAATTTGAATTCAATGATATAATATCATTGTATAAGAAAAATGATTCTGAGTGGAGACGGTATGTCAGTCTAGGTATAAGACATATTATAATATACTTATCTATGTGATTAAAAAAAAATGACCTATAATAGGTACCTATAATAAATTCAAAATTAATCATATTACAATATCCATTAGGCACTTATAACGCGTTAAACATCAACAACAAACCCTGATACTATCATAGATATATAATAGAGTACTTTAGAAGTTTCAAGTACCCACGAATAATATTATAGAATCACAACAAAATAACTAAAATAGTTATTCTAGGTTTTTTTTTATGTAATTTTGTCCAAAGTTGAACTTAAAATGACTATAAAAATAAACTGTGATTATTTATTTTTTTGGATTTTTTGGTAACAGAATAAACTACGTACGTGGAATCTTGTTATATATTTTCAGTCCTTAGATATAAAATTTAAACATTTTATACATTTTTAACTACAAAATAATTAATCAATTTTAAATTTGATACATTTTGTCAAAATTTGATCTTTAAATGCTTATAAAAAAAAATTGTGTCTATGTATTTTTAATATTTTTCAACTGATATTGTAAAAATATATCAGGAGCCTTGTGTTAAATTTTTACACTTTTTGGCCCAACAGATAAAACTTAATTGATATTTATAGAAAAAAAAACTAAAATAATTGAAAACTGAAAATGTCCGTAAACAGTTCAAAAAGAGTCAAAATATTTTAAAAACTGTAAGGTGTTTAGGAAATGCTAATATAAACATTCAGTGAATGTTAGTACAGTCGTTCGTTTTTGAATTACAACAAAATAAGGAAATCGAGTGAATATCCAACATTGTAAAAATTTGAATTTCAAACGGCTCAAAAAAATTTAATTTGACTTTCTTACAGATATTTTTTTTGTTGATAAAAATAGATTATCTTATAAGGAATCTTGTATTACATTTTAAAATCTTAGATTTAAAAAGAAAAATTTTTAACTATTCTCAACTCAAAATAATTTGCTAATTTTCGTGATTTTTCCATATTTTGTCAATTTTTGGGCTTTAAATGCTTATAAAAAAAAACTGTGACTAAGAATTTTTAATATTTTTCATCTGCCTTTGAAACAATATACTAGGAGTCCTCTATTAAATTTTCAAGTTTCAAATTTTCATTTTTTTCCCCTCCCCTTGCAGGAATGCACGTCACTTACGACAAGAAAAACGCCGTCGGGTCCAGGGTGAAGTCTGCTACGATACGTTGCTCGGAATGTAAGTTGCCGTCGTACGAGCCGATCAATCCGGACAAAAAGTACACGTTGCTCATGTCCAAGTACGTGGCAAGCGGTGGCGATCGGTACGAAATGATCAAGGACGAATCCATTGGCACTAACTGTATGGGTGAGTGAACCTACCTGTGGATATAATGAGTAATTATCGAAAACGTCGAGATGACAATATTGGGTTTTAAAAAATGCCATGAAATATATTTTATCGAAATATTTCATTTGAGTGGCGAATTAAAATTTAAAAAAGCCGTACTTTATAATATTACCTAAACGATTATAGCCATAAGCGGGGATCGGATTTTATAGAATTTGCTAATTTATAAGATAAAGATAAGAATAGCAGAGTGAGCTATATCAATTTGGACTCCAAATATGCAATTTTATAATGTTTTTGAAATATTTTAGGTTTTCAGTGCTACTTTTAAAGTTTTGGTGCTATTTTTTTGCTAATTTGCATAATATAACGTTTTATTTTGTATTTTCATAAAGCTAATTTAATATACATATTATATAGTATGAAAATTATAAAAATGTCATCATTTATTTTAATTTCTTTTTTTTTTGGAATATATATAAAAATTTTCGTTGAAATTAAAATCTATTTTTAAATAGTCCGGCGAATTGACCTATTGAATAGTAAGCAATTATGACTCCTTATCGGCTGTACGGCTCGTATCTATATATTTTTGTCTAAAATCTATACCTATTTCAGTGTCAGTTAGTTCTCCGTATCGTTTGCCGAAAGAATATCTAAAGATAAAATAACACGCACTATTCGAGACTCAGATATTTTCTATCTGATTTTAGGAATGAAGTCTTTTCGATCGACGAGAGAGTATTATATTTTTCAAATTGTGCGAATGTAAAGCAAATAGTGGGCCAAAAAATGTAACGTTTTGCAACACATGAAAACTGATAAGGTGTAGTGGATAAACATTTTGCGGGGTAACCCCATACCACTTCACTCCGCTTATCTAAACTTAAAATACTTATAAATCATAAACTACTCGTCCTAAGTTCGATTTTTATGTATCAAAATACTTAGAAAAATATTCTGCTTTGGAATAATATGAAATTAAAACTCTATGCTATCATTCAAAAAAGTAAAAAACTTAAAAAACTATAAGGATAAAAAATATTTAAAAATATAATTTTTTAATGAAAACGTTGTTTTCTTAACAACTTGAAACTATTTAAAACAATATTTTCAAAAACATTAATACTTTTTGAGATAATGAGTGTTTTACGCTAAATCAATCACCCTGTATTATTATTATTGTTATTCATTATTCATTTCTATTTATTTACTTATTAATGATGTCCACTAAGTCGTTTATAATATATTATATATTGTGTATTTTACAATCAATGACGATACGATTACTCCGCACCCTCTGAACTATTTTTGTATTTTTGTTATTCGACCAATTATTATACCTATCTAAATATATTTCGATCGACCTCATTAAGCGGTGCAGTGAATCCAATTGAAGATTTTTTTCACGAAGAACGCGTGAATCGGGGCCGGCCAGTTTTAGTCCAATTTTAAAATGTAGGTGAATGAGGTTCTATTTATACAACGAGGGACACGAGTTGGTGATATAAACGCAAAACGGGAAATGAGTATAAATAATTTTTGTACATTTCCTGATTTTCCTGTATAAAGTATATTATTATATTATATTGGGACGTCAAATAAATGGTTTTAATCAATTTATCTAAATCTAATAAAAACAGTACTGTATCTCAATATACTTCCGCAGAATCAAACGAACCCGAAATCAACACCTACGTTAAAAGATAATAATATCTTGTTGAGTTACCAATTTGATGTCAAGAAAGAGTAACTCGTTTGATTGAATCGACCTTTGAAACTCGGTTTTATTTTTTAACTACTTAACTCGTTAGTTATTCGACACATTTGCTAATGTGCAGTAAGCTCATATGATTCAACGAAAAAAAATCATCAAACCTCATATGTAGCGCAGAAAAACTTCGTTTCAGTAGGTACTTAGACACCTACTATAAAATAATCGATTCCAATTTCTATATTGAGTAATTAAATAGGTATAATAATATGATCGCCGTTTCCAGTTGATTTCAGTACGTTACTATTCAATGGTTTAAGTAAGGTTAAACAATTTGGTTAAATTTAATTTCTAGAAATAATTCATATTTTATGTGAAAAAATACAATTTTAAATAAATCGTGTATTACGACTAAAATTCTATATAGTCTTGCGAGAAGAACATTTTTAAAAGTCGATTTACTGTTTCGACTAGTAATAAATAATGGCTAACAGGTGTGCAATTTGATAAGTGATAAATTAACCGATAATATAATACATACCATTTATGCCTAATTTATTACCATATTGACATACCTAATTCACTAATTCGTAAACCTTGGTTGATAATAGTCATTCACTATCGAAATTGTCTGTTTTTAATCAATTATTTTATAATAGTCTGTAACCAAATGCGTTTAAAAGAAAAAATAAACATTTTTCATATATTTTTCACAGAAAATTTCAATCGAAAAATGTCTTGTGAAATAATATTTCAAATTCTGAAGAACCTATGCGTGCTAGGTGAAAGGGAAAGGCCTGACGATTAGATTTAGTTTTTAATTAATTAAATAATAAATTGGTTCTGAAAGATATTTTAATTGTGTACATACAATTTATAGACGTTTGAGCAGTTGCGCTAACGGTGCAGTACCTATACGATTTTTAGCTTTAATTTTAGATTTAGAGAGGAGGTAAAACAAGTATTGATTGTACAGTGATGTGTGTTTTTTTTCCATCAGTCATCGTTTTTTGTGGAAGTAAATATTTACTGATTTTCTGTTTCAACGTTTTTTTCCGGTACCGAAGTGAAACTATTTGTCACTATTTGGTGGATCAAAAGTAATAGAAATTCCCAGTAGGTAGTTTTGAAATGCATCGGGGCAAACAATTTAAGGAAAAATTAGTTTACCGGAATGGACATTCATTTTGGTTGCGAGCGATTGAATCTAACGTTTTTACGACATTGGATTCTCACCTATAAATTCACAAGTTTTTCTACCTTCATAAAAAAAAAAAATGTCTTCGAGAAAGTCAAATTCAATTTTTATGAGCGTTTGAAATTCATATTTTTACAACATTCACTCGATTTTTCAGGTAGCTATTTTGATATTTTGTCGTTATTCAAAAACAAATAACTGTAGATACATGGAATTTCACTGAAAATTCTTATTTTCTATACACCATACAATTTCGAAAATATTTAGACTCGTTTTGAGCTGTTTACGGATAAATCAAATTTTAATTTTAAAAAGAATGTTTGCTATAAATATCAATGAAATTTCAAAAAGCGCGAAAATGTAATACAAGGCTCCTGATATATTGTTCAATAGCAGTTTAAAATAATTAATAATACATAGGCACAATTTTTTTTTTTTTATAAGGATTTAAAGTTCAATTTTTTACAAAGTTTAATAATTATTTTGTAGTTAATGATTTATAAAATGTTCAACGTTTAACTAAGTATTGAAAATTTAAAACAAGTTTCCACGTAAATAGGTTATATTATATAATAATATTACTTTCTTCAAAATAATAATATTATTGGTCTGCGGGAAAGTCAACTGAGGTAACACTCAAAAACCAAATTTTACCGGACACACTAAAAAAATAATAACTTTGTTCCAAATTAATCTTTTTGTGTTATTTTTCCTTATTGTAAGACTCTATATCTTGTAATTGTATGTGTGAATTGAATTAAAAGAATGCACATTTTATTCATAATTTAATCGATTACCAATAATATAAGCGGGTTATTGTAAGTGGCCGGCTAATATAAAAGTCATTGTGGGTTACATCATATGGCATTAATGGATATCTGTGGGTTACACTACTTTGCAGAACTAATAAACAGTGTCCAAATAACGTGACCCTCAAGCGATGGCGGTAAAATTCCTCTGTCTTGGTGGTAAAATTGTGTCCACCTTCACACGATGTGTGATAAACCCAGTGCGGTAACGTTAATAACAAAAATAATGCTATAATCAATCAAACTTAGAATTTTCACAAAATTTAAGGAGTACTCATCCCGTGTATAATGCGATACACTGGTGTTCCAAATGATAACCTAAGCATGTCTTTATGCAAATCATTATGAATCAGGTTCCACTTTAAATTATAAGGATAATAGGTACCTAGTCTATCAAAAGGATATTATTAACTTTGGATCAATCGACAATTATAATCCACAGTATCAATCCATAATAATGCAATTTGTAATAATAAACGATTGTCCTAGAATACTTGGTTAATAGTAATAATTACTAACAAATATTTCATATTGCACAGTTAGGTACTTACAGGTACTTATCAACATAATAATTGATCTCGACTTTGGTTGTGACTTTGGTCGTATAGTATTTATAACTTATAACTATTTATACTTAGTATTCTAAGTATTTAAAGTAGAATAATTCAGAAACTGTGAGTTATCAAATTTTCAATCAAATTTTGATACAATAAACCAATTAACATTTCCAAGAAAATCATCTTTTCAAAATCTGCACTAAAACAACATGTAGGTTCTCGTTGGAAAAACTAATGTTGGTATATGAGGATACTGTCTCAGAGTTTTGTGAAAATTCTAAGTACCTAAAAAATATCGGATTCAACTTAAGAAGTTTAATGTGCGATTGCAATTAAATTATAGTAAATCGTAAAATGTACATATTATTTTGAACGAAATGTGTACAGTGTTGTTCGGTTTATATGTTATTCGATCGGTAATATAATATAATCATTTTTTTTTCAGATACCACAGAAACAGACGCCTTTTTATCGTACGTCAAAGAAATCAAACCAATTTACGCTGGAATAGATAACAGGATCAAAATATTAAATCACTAATGAGCTATTGTAATCATGTAGGTATAGTCAATATTAATAATCGTTTCGACATACCGTGTCAAGTTTTTTTTTTATTGTTCACAGTATATACATATACCTAAATCGAAATTTTTGTCGGTGATAATAAAATTAATAATATTCAACATTTGACTATTCATATATATGTCACAAAAATGATTTCGTTCCTACTTTTTTGTTTCCGTAATATTATAAAATCGGATGAAGTCTGGTCTAGGCGCTACGCGTTATTGACTTACTTTACACATTCGCACTTTGACTTGTCTGTAGTTATTGATTATTACACGAGCACTGTCAATAAATCAAAGTTCCAACGGACAACGCGGTAGGTCTTTAATCTGTATAATTATTTGACATTACACCTACATTATAGGTACCATAATCAGAGGCGTCAATGCAAATAATTAACTCGGGTCGAGTTAAGTCGAGTGAACACGTCGTGATCGTTAAATTGGTAATCGTAATATATTATATAGTTGATAAATAATAATTTTAACTAGTTATTTTTAAAGTTAATATTGAAAAAAAACCAACTTAACTGAGTCTTGAAAAATTTGTGAGACATGCTATGGTCAATTGTTTTAATTTTCAGATAGTAACTTCTATGTGACATCACTAGAGATGTAAGCTTAAAGTTTTCAACTGACCATTATTTTTTTCATGGACATTTTCTGAACATTTTCATTTTTTTTTTGGAAAATTTAATTTTTATTGTGTTATTCTTAACATAATTAATTGTTGAGGTTGTATGGTTGGTATGTTATCCGAATTTGTATTATTTAATTAGGAATTAAACAACTGTGAATATGAACTAAAATTAAAACAAAATAAATATACCTACCTACACGTTGAACAAAAGATATTTATCAATTATAAATAGTTGCGACGTTTTGTGGTCTTGTGTTAACATTAGGTACGATGTAATTTGTAATAACCTTTAACTATCCATAAAAAATATTTAGTGTATAAGATTGCGGAAATAACTCAAACAATAAATAACAAAAAAGGAACAATCAGTAGATGAAGGAAAACGTTTAAGCACTCGACATATTTTATACTGAAGTAAAAATACAAAATTTTAATAATAATAAAAATGTTCTTTTGTTACCGAGATAGATTGATTCGAACTTTCCTAATATTATTATAATATGTTTAATAGAAAAATATTAAAAAGGGGAAACCTAAAAGTACTTACACGGTTTTCAATAGAATTATGTAAGTTAAAATATAATATGATATGATAACTATATAATATCAAAGGATTAATTTGATAAGAAATCAACACGAGAAATTCGTGAAACGAAAATTTACATCACTATATGCTGCATTCACTGCAGGGGAGGCTCCATCCATTTCGACACTTGTGAGCACATATTTTATTCGCGTCTGAACTCGATTTCAATTTCTCGTCGTCGTACAAAATATTATAATAATAATAGTAATAATAATAATAATATATAAATATTGTATGGATTGATACAGGTTGCAACAGGTAGCCCTCCACGCGCCGCCGTCACAATGGAATATTATGATAATACATATTACTATCGTCCGCGTTTATTGTAACAATATAATATAATATTATTATTATTATTATATTATTATAGCATTTTCGTCGAGCTGAATCGATGCGTATCGCGAATATACGGGCCATGCATAATATAGTTTTTATCTCTCGCCCGTTTTTATGATGTTCTACGTACATTTTATTATTATAATAAGACGGTCGTTCCCGAATCACTCGAATAGCGTTTTGGCCGAGAGACCGAAAATCCAAAACCCTTTAGGCCCTCAAAGCCCTCGGCAACCACGACACGATGTCATGCTACGATTTCGTTGAATAAACACAGGCACACTTGTCGCAGATGGTCGCGGTCCGCAGGTGGTCGCCCGCCGGTACATGAAACGATATCGGTACGACCGTTATTGTATCGAAAATCTACGACGTTTATTGTCGACAAGACGACTGCGAGTGTTTTGTGTATTTTGTAAGATAACGTTTGACATATTTTTTTAACAAAAATTTCGATGTTCAGAGTCTTTTGTAAGTAATTGTTTTGTATACGAGGAATGAAGGTTTGATTTTCGAAAAATATCTGTTTTTCTTGTACTCTTTTTTTTTTTTTGTAATAATTCTGGTAGAATTTACGCTCCAATCTTCAACTTCGATAGAGGTCACTGGTCACAAATCGGGTTTAGTTATTCGGAAGTCTCGTCCGTGTAAAAGTACATACGTTTGACTTGGGAAAGTCCCAGGGCTCCATTGGTGGAATTGGCCTGGTGAAGCCAATTATTTATTCATTTTTCACCAGGGAGACTTCGTAGGTATCTAATCATTTTTTTTTTCACTTTTTATGAGAAATCTGCATATTATCGTGTTGTTTTTTTTTTCAAACTTATTTGATAATTGCTTCCTATTTATGGATTTTTGGGAGATACAGCTTTTTACTTTAGTATACCAATATATATATATTATAGGTACAACTATAAATAGTTAAATTTTAAAAATGCAGTAAGCACCTCCATTGTATTTAATTATGTTGCTATTTGTTTAAATGCACTCAGAGGTATATTAGGTGACACTAAAAACCAACAAAATTGATCCTTCTACCGATTGTAATATTATTATAATATAATACTGTATTTAATACCATTGTATTACAAAGGCGTACATACTATTGGTTTTTGTTAAATATTATTATTGATTTTTATTTTCAAAATGTTTGATGAAATAAAATATGTTTCTCGAGGGCCACGTCTCTGAGACCACTTTTCTACGATGTAACACACAGTTTTATGGACATTTGTATCAAATAGGTAGTATAATTATTGAAGCGTATTTACATTTATCACCAAGGCTAGGCAAGTTAATACATTTTTTTTAACTCAGTAAAATTAAGTTAATATGCACCAATAACAAAAAGTTCAAAGTTAAAAGTTAATACACACTTTTTGCTAACTTTTTATTAAGTTAAAAAAAGTTAATTTGTGTACACAAAGCTGGCGTACTTAATTTTTTTCCAACCCAAAACTGAATTATAGACTACAGTGTTTATACTTCATACAGTACTTCCATGTGAGTTAAATTCGAATGATTTAAATTTTTAACTTTAAACAATACACTGTAAATATTTGTTGACATGAAAAATTGAAAACGAAATAAATCAACTTAAATTAGGTAATCCTTAGAATAAAAAACGAATTCCTTAATTTCACGTTAGTTCAAAAATAAATGTAGCAAGTTATCAGTTAAATTAACGAAAAGCCAAAAGTAACTAGGTAAGTTAAAAAGTGAAAATTAAATTAACTTTAACCTTTCAACTCGTTAATAATGCCCAGCCTTGCTCTTCACCTCTTCGTTTCGGCCGAATAAACGAGACGCGTAATTTGCCACCTGTTCAACGTAGGTAGGAATATCGTCGTATAATATACGAAATAAATTTTCAAAAATCGCCTTTGCCGCCTTTCTATTTCGGATGACCGTCGTCACCAGCACCCACATCCACCCCACTCGCAGTCCGTATAATATTACAGTACGTATACGGTCAAACGGGTCGACGACGGATTTCGGCGACATAGATCGAAGGCATATTTTACGATAATATATTATATTATTATTATTACGTCTGCGTTCCATATTATTATTATTATTTCGTATCCGTCGTCGACCCGTCAGCGTCGGGCTCGGGTGACGCAGTCTTTTCCGCGTCAACGGTGCACATGTGCTGCACACAATCGTCACTGCTCCTGCTGCTCGACGACAACAACAACAGAGATCCGCAGGTTGCTACCGGCTACGACTGCAGTATTTGGGCACACGCTCTCATATCGGATTTATATTTATTATTATATTATTTTATCGCCCCGAGATCGGTGCATACTCGCCGGGGACGACGACGACGACGACGACGTGTCTCGGATTTTCGTGCACAGGTGTGTAATATATTATTATTATAATAAGAGTGTATCCCGGTCGGGCGGACGGACGACAAAAGACTATATTATAAGGTTTACGTATTGTGCTGCACCGCTGCGTGACGACGGTGTAATAATTGTGTCTACAGTTTTGTATACAGGGTGATACACCCGATCGTTGCTCGCCCACGCGACTTCGACGAATATAATATTATGATTCGGAACCGTAAACATGGTTAAAGTCCTTCAGGGATTGGAACCTTTTGAATTTATAGCTCCGGAATGTGGGTTTAATTAATAGTATGAGAAATATTAGAAAACTCATTTGATCATACGTAGTCTAAACACAAAACAGTAATACCATTAAATTATGATAAATAAAATAGTTTTATTTTTGAGCCTAAAAAACCTATTTAATTTGAATATTAAGGTTCAGTTCGGGTACTTTATTTATTAAAATAAAGGTTTCGGTTCTTAATGTTTTAAAGGTTTTGGTTCCAGAATAAGTTCTCTTAGGTTCGGTTCCAGTCAATGGCTTAAACACTTTGGTTCCAGGATACAATTCGCAGGATAGTTCTCCTTGGGAATTGGTTCAAACTGAATTTTTATTGTTAATACTTGTTATAAGGAAAATATTTGTCTTGAACATTTAGACCAATAAAAACCGAATTTCAAAAGAGTTTTATTTCTGACTTATTAAACTTTAAGTATAGTTACTGTAATGCTGATAACATTGTCCATATAAAAAAAAATCCGAAATGTAGTACAAGGAGAAACTATGATTCCGAGTGTAGTAAGTAGGTACCTATACTATATACATAACTGAATATTACATATTTTATATTTGATGTATAACCATTATTAATGATTATTGTCGTTAGTTTAACAAGTCAAGAACTAAGTACTCATCGGAATTTCGGTTGGAATTTCGGTCTACTAAAAAAAAACTCACAGTTAATGATGCAGGTTATTTGAAAAAAAAAACATCTTAATACTTATATACAGTTGTCGTTGGTTCATATCACCGCGGGATAATCTTAAAATGGTATAAGTAAGTACTAAACATT